GAACCTTTGGGCAGCAGGCACTGGTATAGTGGTGTAGCCAGTGCTCTCAATGCTTTATTGCTAGCTCATGTTGTAGACCACTAGGTTTATGGAGAATGGGACCTAATACTTGCAAATCATGCAGAGGTCTGTGTGCTGCAAAGTCTAGCTTCCCGCAGACTCCTGTGCATGTTTCTCACCCGCAGTGTGAGGGAAAGCACCCCAGTTATGCTCTTTCTGAAAGCTGTTTCCAAATTTGCCCATCTCGCAGTATGGCTTAGGAAGCAGTTCTGAAATCAGAGCAACAAAGGTAGAACAGATCTGCTCCTTCTGTGTTAGCTGAGTAGTATTTCTTCTTGCCTGCTGCAGATCTATGCAGTCCACATCCTAGAAATAAAATTTGGGCTGGATCTCTTACCTGGCAGAACTTCGAAATCTTCATAGTAAAATCCCTGGCATATACCGGGTTTGGCAGTGAATGGGTTTGGGTGTGGTTTTTGCATCCTGAAAAAATGTCATGAATTGTGTGGACATGTGCTGGTTGCTTGAAACAAAAAAAATGTCCACATTTTCCACACAGAATTGTGTGGACATGTGCTGGTTGCTTGAAACATTCTTTCCAAAAAGTACTCAATTTTGAGGCTTAACTAGTGATGGCAGGTATTTACTTACTTTGTAACATTTTCAAATGTTTACAGTTAGTATTGAAAAAATATTAATTACAAATTAATCATCCCAACTCTTTTAAAAATGTCCCACCGTATGTAGATGATGCTTGTTTGATGCCACCCTTGATGCCTTTTCTGCCTGGCAGTATTAGAACTTCTGCTGTTCTCCTGTGCTTCAACAAAGGGACCCCATCACCACAGATCCTGAGAAATACGGTAATAAAATTGAAAAAAATGATCTGAAGCCTAATTCATAAACTGCTTACAGTTGCGTCTTTTGAATTTTAAGCATTTCTTTTAATAAATTAAGTAGTTTGGTGCAATTGGAAGTCAGTTGTGACTGGCTTTAGCATAGTGTGTTATTGCCTACTTTGAAGTATTTGTTCAAAGCGTGTGTTTAGTGCCAAAGGTAGTACAACAGAGGAAAGTGTAGAACACTAATCTTTATAAATGAACCCTAGTAAGCTCTTAAATTCCCTGCTTTAACTCTTTGCAAAAAAAAAAAAAAAGAAATAAATCTGTACTTGCAGAGCCTTTAGTAGAAGCAATGTACATAAATGGAATTTAAACCTTCAGCAGCTTGAGTGGTCTGTTGACTTGAGAAGCCAGGAGCAACTGGCTATCCAAGCATAAATAAATGTCTGCAGAAAGAGACCCTACATTTCCAAAGTGGTGCTGCAGATGAATAGTGCATGTGGGAACGTAGGCAGTGGGTTTATTGCAGTAGTTTGATTATGCCTGGGAGATAGGCACCTTTGTTGGTGCCTTTGAATAGGGCTTCGAAGTCCCTGGTGACTCGTTTTTAATGTCTACATTCTGATGAGGTATAAATGATAAACCTTTTCATCTGTGTCAGCGTTGCTGTGCTATTACTATTTTTCAGATGTTAGAAACAATGTGTGATTTCAGTAGCGCTCCGAGCTGCACTCAACATTCATTTGGGAGAGCTTCTCTTCTAATCTCCTGGAAGTTACTTTGATTCTCTGCTGCATTTGCTTGGAGGCAAGAATGTTATTTACAAACTAAAATATAAGGCACCTTCTGCACATTCAGTATTTTAACTGTATATGTTTCCTGGCAATTGCATTTAAAAAAAAACAGTAAATGAGAGCGGGGAATTGGGATAGTGTTTTTCACACGAGAGACATACATGGTGTGCCTGCTTTTAGGGGTAGGATCATACACCATCAAGACAGGTCTGCTGCCAGATGATGCAGCTGATAAATGCTTTTGCTGCAGATTTTGTAGATCTGGAGTATGGATAAAATAAAATTGTATAACACATAATGAAAGGGCTATATTGAAAGGATGTCTGAAAGCTGCGGGGAAAAGGAAAGAGTAGTCAATTCTAAGTCCTTACTGGGCCTGGCTAAAGCAGTGTTCTGTCACCTGCTTGCAACATCTACTGTTTTAAAAGTCAGTGGCTTTGTTTTAAGGATACTGCATGAAATCAGACTTGGTTTAAGTGAGCATTTAGACTTCACTATGTGTGTGCTGTATGGCTTGTGCGCTGGACTTAAAGAATTGTCTCATAGGCAAACTGCTGAAACCATTGCTGGTCGTGGTGGATTTTGAGGTTTTTGTGGGTTTTTTTTAAGAGTATTCCATATTATCTGAGGTACAGATCAATTGATTTAATTATTATTGTTATTATTATCATCAGATATTTTTAAAACAACAAGCTGTGCAGCTTTAAAAAGATTGATCATCAGACTTGGGACTTTCAAACTGTCAATTGCTCAACTATTCAACATTTTTTACTATAGCATGCACTTTTTGCCTTTAATCAGGATGAACTTGATTCTTTGATTCTTTACTAAAATTTTAAATTCTTTCCCAAATATGGGTAGTCTAATAGCATATTCTTTAATGTAGCTGCGTGGTGCTGTGCTGTGTATACGAAGACAGAATTCATTGTCAAAAAGCTGAAATAAATAAATTGGGTATTAGTAATCTGGAAAATGGGGAGAATGACAACTTCAGCTTTACTCCGTGTATTTTGTGGTTTTCTGCATAACTTTGCAGATGATTTGTCAAAATAGGAAGGCTCTGCAGGGCAGATTGCCGCTAATTGAGTAGTAATTCTGAGGCAGTGGGACTACTGATTGGTTACATTTAGACAGCAGTTAAAAAGGTTTTAAATATATTTACTACGTCATTATTTAAAATTAAGTAACACCTTTCTGATAATTCCATTCGTGTTGTATGAAAACATGTAGTAAATCATTCTGGTATGTTGGTGTAATATTGCTTGTTGGTGCTATTTTATGCAGCAGATGACGTGTTAATAATGTAGTCTTCCTCAGTTCAGCAATTAGTGTGCTTGACATTTTAATCTTAAGAAAATTACTGTTTTCATGTGTTGGAGAATTCAAGGTAAATGGAGAGCTTTGTGCCTGCAACAAGTTGAGTTAGTGTTTATTTGGTTGATTTGGGTTTTTCTGTTGTGTTCTTTTTGAATTTTTTCCCTTCCTGCAATTTAAGGATTCTTCTTTTCTTTTTATGATGCACATAGAGTAGTTTTTTCATTTAATCTCTGAAGCTACTCTGTTTCTCTTCAGGCTCTCTTCTTTCGACTGACTTAATTTTTTTTCAGTCTTTTCTCACAGTTCTATGGTTTTTTAGGTCTATGATAATTATATCGATGCTGTTCTGTCTTGGGTGGGAGAGAAACTGTGTCTGTCTTAGAAGTATGGTGTCCCAAAATGGATAGGGTATTTAAAAAATTTAACAGTGCTAAAGTAGAGCAAAACACTTGCCTCATGTTTTTTTCAGGTATTTCCTCTGTTTGTGCTTCTGAAACTGTTGGTTTCTGTGACAGTACTGGACTTGCATTTTTTAGACTGATGCACTGTAAATGCGGATGCGTTTTTGCTGCTACCTGTTGGCTTGGTTCCAATTCTAAATTTGTTTTGCCTATTGGGATTTTTTCTTCTTGCTGGAGAATAGGATGCTTCTATATTTGTACTTTGGGGACAGAATTCTGGTTTTTTTAAGATCACTTGTGGAGTTGGTGAAGATATCCCTTTCTTCATTGTAGTTGCATACTCTCTTCCTTCTCCAACTGCCTGGTACAGTAATAAGCATGTGGTCTAGTCTTCCTTATCGTTAGTAAAAAGACTCAATCCCAGCAGTATTCTTGTGAAAGCCTAGTTGTTTGTGTTCCTTCATTATGAAAGCACAAATATTAGTAAGTTTGTCATTATTTAGATTTCACCAGCTGTGTATGTTCGTGTGATAGGTAAAAGTACCAACCAAACAAAACTGATTACAAATTTAGCTTGTGATGTGGAACAGGGTCAAGAGGATTTGTATCATTGTAAAGACACACCCAATGGGCAACATCAACAAGGAATTTCCTAGTTCTTACTCTTTGGTGCAATGACTTGATTACAGTGGCATGTTATACAGGAATGTTTCATTAACGTATGCTGTCAGCATGGGGGATTAGTGTGGTATATTGTTTTTATGCTTCCCATTTTTTGCTTTAGATGGTGTTTTGTCATCTTAAAACTGTTCTCCCCTTGATAAATAGGCTATATTGGGAAGGGGAAAAAAGGTTAGTGTAAGGTTAATGTTCAGCTTCTACCTGGGGTACATCTGGGTTTAATTTAAATGATGTTTACAGATATAACATCAACAAAGAGACATATTAGGAAAACACCCTCTAGCTAATTAACTGATTGAAGAGGTATCTATAGAAGTAATCGCTTTAGGATCCAATGTTTCCATCTTCAATTAGTCTTCCCTAGGAGAAGTGGAATCTACCCTCCTCATGTGAACACAATTACTATTTTTAGGCCTAACTGATTTAGAAATACCAGTCTGCTCATTTTACGTAGATGAAGTATGTCTTATGTCCCATGCCACTGATCCTAAAAGAGACAGCTGTTGTCCTGGTAAAGCCTTCCACTTCTACATGACAGAGGCCAATCATACCTCTTTCAGCGAAGATGCTCTGTAATAAGCTTTGTGATAACAGTTGTTAAAGTGTTTAAACTCAAAAGTGATACATGCCGTACTGATAATGTGTGTGCCTTAAGTGGGTGTAAGTAAAAACTTCCTTCTATTAATATCTTGCAAACTGGAATAGTATGAATTCTCCAGCTAAAAAATAAAATGTTGGGATTTTTACTATCTTGTTCCATTAGCTTCTTAATTTATGAAGCTAAATGGAAATTAGCCTAAGCAACATCTGACTGATATTCCCGCTGAGAACAGAAACAAAAGCTGAGCAATGCTTTTGCTTAGAGAACAGAAATGCTGCTTAGTGATTTTAAGTAAGACATAAAATTTTATTTCTGAAGACATAATTATTTAGATGTTTGGGTTTTGTGTTTATTTTTGGTACAGGTTATTAATGCTGCTTTAGCTCTTGCTGCCAGACCAAAAAGTCAAGTTGTGAAAAACAACATGGAGATGTATAGGAGTACCTGGGAGAATCACATCCATGTTCTTACTGAAGCTGTGGACGATATAACAAGTATTGATGATTTTCTTGCTGTATCAGGTATGGTAATATTCAGAATCTGCTTCTTATTGTATATGTTTTGAAAACTTTTCATAACATTTCAACAGGAAAACGATGGAAGATTAGATTGTGTAAGGTTTTGTGAAGCTGTTGTTTCTGTTTAAAATATCCCTGCACAGTAAATGTTTCTACACTGCACAATGTGGAGCTGGGTAGAAGTTACTCAAGCAAACCAGGTGCATGAAGCAGAATAGGTATGTTACAGGGGGTACGTCTAACCATCCTCACAGGTTCATTTAGCTCTTAAGTTTCAAAATCCTCTCTGCATCTGTGAGAAGTCTCCTTCTAGAAAAGGGAGTGCATATTAGGGTGCATATGCATAAACCAAGAGATTTCTTACTGTAACCTCTGTTTCAATTACTGTGGAATGCACTGTAGGTAGCATTTCCAGAATTTTCAGTTACAAATATTTGCCAAACAAAATGTACTTCCAAATCTCCTCGCTGAAGAGACCTTTGATAGCAGTAAACTGTATTTACTAAACCAGTGAGTGCCTTCAACTTTTAAACAGAAGATAGAAAGCAGTTTTACTTGTGGTTTAAATATCCCAATTCTAAGTTTTTGACTTCTCTCAAGTTAGTGTTATATGCACAGGAAGGAAAAACGTGTCTAATCTTCATTAAATGTGGTTTAACTTTTGTGTTCCCTTATGGCCAGTGGGCCCCTGTGCTTGCCCTGTGTATCTTAGCCTTTAATGGAAGCCAATTATGAACCTTCCTATTGCTTATAGCGTCTGGGAGGTTGCTAATCTTTCCTGTTGGACTGAAACTGAAATTTCTGCAGGTATTGCTAGAGCTGTTAATAAAGGGAAGAAACAAGTCAATCACTAATGAAATACATACATTAATCTCTTCAATCTCCTATGCAATCTCCATGAGTTTTAAAGTTTTTCTTTCGCATTCATTGAGCTAAACATTTAACTACACAACTGTGATTCATTTAAATGGCACATTTCAGATATTTTTTCAAATTTTCCTTGTTTTGAAGAAGTTAGACATTAGAGTTAGACATTCCAGTAGTAATTGGGGGAAAAAAATCTGAGTAGACTCCTGGCTTTTTGATGTATTTTATCTTTGGTTGAGCACACCTGAATAATAATATTTCACAGTAAGTAAAAGCAAAAACTGTTAACTTACATAGGCCTACACATCACTGCTACTTATCATGAAGTCCCAAAAAGTAAACATTCGTATAAGTAGCAGTGATGTGTAGGCCTATGTATCATGAAGTCCCAAAAAGTAAACATTCGTATATTTGCTCTAAACCATGTGTAGAGCATCTTCTGTAAGCTTCAGTAGAACCTTTTGCCACATGTTAATCTAATTTGTTTAACTTCAAGTGTCATGCTTGTTCTTAAGTGATCTGCTGGGTAGATATTTTCCTATGGCAGTGTCACCTACTTGCTTTGGGAAGATTTTTTTGTTGTTGTTTTTTTAATTAGCTCATGTACAAAGAAGTAGTTATTAAGACTAACTATTAAGGAACGGTGCAAGCCACTCTGTCTACTCCTCAGTGTATTAGCACCATTACCGTGTTCTGAGGTAGTAAAACATTCCTATATTGCTCTATCTGAATAGAAGAGTTAAATGTGTGGTAGAAGATGGTACCTAACACTTTCAAAAAATTACTTAGTAATTAGGAAGGATAATGTATATTGTCTCATGTTTGAGATGAAAGGAATATGAGAATAGATTTATAATGGATCTGTGTTTTCCGCAGAAAATAGTATTCTACAGCATGTGCCAACATGGGCACATTGGGAGAAAAATGTTTTTTAAATAACATACTTCATTCAAAATTGATGTGTCAGATATTCACATTTGAGTTGAATGGCTGAGTTTGCATCCCTGACTGCATCTTCCAGGTTGGCAAGGGAAGTGATTAGTCCTGTAGTGTTAAAATCATATTAAAAAAACAGTACACTTTTTTGTAAATAGAGTAAACACACCTTCCGTAGTAATCCTGGTGATTCAGAATTCTAAATTGCACAACAGAATTGCCTATCTAAAAATTTATTTTAAATTGTGTCTCTGATTGATAGGTCAGGTTTTTCTACCAGATACAAAATATACTTCCCAAACCTGTTAAGAGCTGGGAATATCTATTTTGTGGTTTACATTATTGTATGTCCTTTTCACAAAGTGTCACCTGAGCTTTGGATGGCAAGTCATTTTATAAAATGGTGTTACTAATGTGAGTTATTCTGGGTTACTGATGATTTGGAGGCTAGATTCAGTACTGGTAGCTGCATTTCTGCTATGGACATTTTTAAGGTACAATGTAACTCCAATTAATGTCACTGCAAAAATTTTGTGCGGAGCTCAGTAGCAAGTGGATTAGTCCCTATGTTTCTTGAATCCAAGATGTTATGTTTCTGTCCTTAAATAAGCTGAATAAGGGAGCTGCAGCTGAAAGCATGGGCAGGAACTGAACTCTCTCTGAAAATACCTCCTTGTGACTCTTTATAATCCACTTGTGGGGTTGCTGAAACAAGATGTATGTGTACAGGAAAATTGTGTCTCTGATGTAGTGCTGGGGGAAGGAGAATTCTGTGGCAGATCAAAAAGGTTGAATTGTGAGCGTTTGAAAGGTTGGGGGGTTTTGTTGTTTTTTTTGCTTTTGGTTTTTTTTTTTATAGTGTTAATATGACATTTGTTGTATGTGATAATAATATTGCTCTTTTCAGATTCACCTATACTCATGAAATTGGATATTTTTTTTTTGTTTCAGTTGTGTTTTATTCTTTCTATTTATTTGTATGTGATACTGTGTTCAAAGGAAAACTAGCACTACAGTAAATGAAAGAGATGAAATCAGGTCTTTACAAGTGAAAAAGAAGTCCGATTGCAAATAGACAGTTTAAACGATGTTCTGTTCCTTATAAAGGAAAGAAAGAGTTAATTGTATAAAAAATGCCATTGCAAGTACAAAATGTTACAAATGATGATACCATTGTTCATGGATTTTTTATACCTCCTAAGAAAAGAGAATCAGTTTCAGCCTATCAGTTTTGGATAGTCAATTTATGCAAGGAAGAATGTGGGTATTAATCTTTATAACCCACTGGCATTAAGTTTAAAAAGGACTGTCATCCATTTATCATGATGATGTGAAGATTTTAGATTCATATAAGTGAATTGAAATGTGCTATTGCATTTGATACGTGAATTTCCAGGAAACTAGTTTTATGTGCATGTAATTTTGTTTGTGTTGGTAAATCCTAAGTTTTATCCTCAACTCTGCTCTCGTAAACTGACTCTTCAGTGTCTCTTTTCTGATACGGTTAGGCTGAAAACATAGTTCCTGATGCTCATTTTCTAATGTTGACTCTTTTGTGTTATTTTAATACTCTTTGTTCAAAATTACATGGATAAAGCTTTTGGATATAGATGCAAAATACAAAATGTCAGTATTTCCTTCCTTTGTATGTATGTTTTCCTCTCCTAATGATGATGTGTAATTGCAATGAGATGTTAATTACAGTTGTTAAGTTAGAAAACCAGTAAGAGAAGAGTTAGATCTTTTAGTCCAAAAGTTAACTCAACTTCTGTAAGGACTATATAGGCAAGAAAAGCATCAAGAGTGTGTTTTTATATACAACATTCTCAGGACGCATGGTTTCTCTTTTCTGTTGTCTTCTTGAAGAGCTTGAATGACAGACCCCTGTGCTGCTTTTCTGTCCTCTTCTCAGCATCCTTGCCCAAACTATCATTTTTTCATCTAATGAATGTTCTCTCCAGCCTTCCATACTGTCTGAGTATCTCCCTTATCTCTCCCTTTTTTTTTCTTCCGTACTCAGTGGACAGATTAATACGGTCATTTGGAGAGATTTGGGAGAGTGCCACTTGTTCTGGATGATTCAGTCTTTCTCTCCCGAATACAGAAAAAGGCTGTTGAGATTAGAGTAGCATAAAATTTTATTAATTCTTCCCTTGATTTTCTAGTCTGATATATTTCCGATTGGTAGCTAGGTTTCTAATAACTTTTGAAGTTTGCTTTTTCAAATCTGTAGCAGATCCCTAGCATTATCCAGTCTCATACAGTAAAAGCAGGTCTTTCTTCTCCAAAATTACTTTGGATTAGTCATTTTTTTTTTTATCATGTTATCCTTTTAGTTCCTCTGACTTTTTGCATCCATAACACACAATTCTATGCAACTACACTTCCAGTTTTTGTAATGTTCACACATTCTTCATTATCTCTGCACTATACTCTGCTGTTGAACTGTTGTTCTTCATTATCCAGTGTCACATTCTGTATAAAGGCATTCTTAAGAAATAACTTTCTTTATGCTGCCTGTCCTTCTGATCTCATCATAGTCAGTTACCCGGGATTGTGTCATAGTCTACCCAGTGCTTTTTTTTTTTTTTCTGGGACCTCAAAAATCTGAAACAATAATTTATACTTGCCACTACAGCCTGAGGATGGAAACAGGCCAAGATGTGAAGGGGGTGTTAATATCTTTCTGTTATATTTGAAGGGAAGTGAAAGCTCTGTTTTTTTAGTATAAACCCCTTTTTTCTTGTTTGAAACAGGAGCAGCAAACTTCAAGGTAAAAATAGCTTAGGATTTAATTTACGTTAATTGATGACTTTTTGAGAGAGAAGGATGCTGAGCACCAGAGGTAATTAACATAATTCACCCTGTCCTGCTCTGTGCATTCTGTCTGCTAACCAGAGGTCATGGTTCTTTTAGGATCTGTGTGATGACTCACCCTGATCATCACAGATCAGCATTGAAATTGGCATCCAAACTTAAAATTGCAGTCATTGCTCCAGCCTCAGACACTTTTCTGCTGATGGAATGAGGGGTGAGAGGGAAGGAGGTGCTAAAACATAGATTATTCTTTCTGTTGGGATTGTGTTGTGCTGGTATCACATTGAATGATTTATTCTTTTTTTTTTGCTACATATCATTTACTTCATAATTGTGGGAATTGTTAAATAATGGAGCTCCACAAATAAGTAGAGAAATACCGT